GATGTCATCTGGGTCTTCAGCCTTCAGAGGGTTAGATACTTCGAAATCTACTCACCCACTTCAACCTCAATCAGCACGTCGCATCATAAATTTTATGCATCTCATTTTAATGCATATAAATTGACGAAAATGTCAACTTTCGCACTTTTATAGAGTTGGGCTTATTTATCTCTTAGCTTAGTGTTATTAATATTGCTCTTCCGTTTGAGACTGTCTCTGTGCTAAGAGCAATATATGAGATGTGTTCACCCTATCTCGTTTACGGTGATGAAGGACTGGTGGTTGAATTTTCCTACAATGATTTGTGAAGAGCTGACATTTCCATTTAATTTCACATAGATTTGCTTTCCCAAAAGATGCACTCATCCAAGGTGAACTACAGTTTTGACCTCGCACAGGTCTTATCAACACCCCGAACCATGACAATGCAGCGTGTAAGCTCTACACGTCAATCACTCCGCCACGTTGCCACGAGTACTCTTGGGTCACAGAGCAGATATGACTTTCGAAGAAGGTCAGGCATTTTTCATATCACATTCTGTGTTGGAATTGTCGATGAATAAAATTTATATTTGCTATATCAATCGACCGCATTACTTTTTTCGTTATTTAAGTAGGTTTTCGAGACTACCAGTAAATCAGTGATATGAGATAGAGTATACTCGAAAACCTACTTAACTAACTAAAAAAGTAATGTCGTAGATTGAGATAGTAAATATCAGTTTGCTTCATCGACAATTCCAATACAGCATGCGATATGGAAAATGCCTTACCTTCCTTGAAATTCCCATCTCCCCTGTGCCCCATGAGTACTCGTGGAAATGTGGCGTAGTCGTTAACGTATCGAGCATACACTCTGCACTGTCATCGTTCGACTCCCGTTTAGGGTGTTGATAAGACCTATGCGAGGTCGAAAATGCAGTCCACCCTGGATCGGTACACCTTTTGGGAAAGTAAGGATATGTGAAATGCAATGAAAACGTCAACTCTACTCATATCATTGTGGGAAAATTCATTACCAGCCCTTCATCACCTTAAACGCAATGGGGTGAATACAGCTCATATATATGATTACTGGTAGTCTCAAAAACCTACTTAAATAACGAAATAAGAGCGATATCTCTAGAATGCGAGCAAACCATATACTACTTGGATTATCCCCACAATGCTGCTCTGCAAATATAAATTTATAACTAGTTTTAATTAATAGAATATTTTCAATGATACAATCACGGTATTGCTATTTCCGTGTCAAAATCAGTCACTGGTTTAAATAGGAATGAAACATTTAACTTTTCTTTTATGTTCTCGGATACTAAGAATGATTAATTGCCCCGAAGCTGTCGGCCTTAGTTTCATTTCTCCCAAGTTGCCAGGTTCTATGTAACGCAGCCTTGCTAGGACCGCAAGGTAGCCTCGGGCAGGCAATATTCTTGCACTGCGTGCCATCCAGCAGTTACGATTTTTATCAAGTTAGCGTCTTTTGGAAATAAGAGCCACAAACTGAAAGCGAATTTCTTAATCGCATTCTTCACTCCTTCACATTTAGAATGCCCAAAGCAGATGAGCCGAAGGCTAGGAACATGCAACATCAAAAAGGGCGACGAAATGTACGCCAACGAAGAGCTTAGATGGAAGGAAATGGTGGGTTGTCAGTGCCAACCTCGGATTAAGAACAAATTAACCGTTTGCGGCTGTCGGAAGAAGGCAAGTCGGACACTCTGCATCAACGGAAACATTAAACAAACACTTGAGGTCACGACGAACCTGATAGTCGGAAAGGGAAATTCCTCCTGTGTTTCGAAGTCCAAGGTCAGTTCACGCTTGTACCTCATGATATGTATCTTCTGTCTGTGATTTGTTGGCTTGCTTTAGTGCCTGGGACAGAATTAACCCTGTCCTCAGAGTTTTACTCAACCCGAAATTTGGTCATAACTTAAGGACTTTCTCCTGTTTTCTAGGTTTATACCTCAACTTTCTCAAAAAAGTTGTGGCCATCGTAATTGGAAGTGAGGATAAACTAAATTTTGTGCTCTGCATTGCAGCTTTGGCTGCGCTTATCTCTTTTATTCTGCGAGTACTTAATTCAGCCTTCCAAGCAGGAGAACTCGCCTAGAGGGTAGTCTCTCGAGAAACAGTTTACCATCTAATATAATTCAGAGATTAATGGTCTTTTTTGCTATTTCAGATAGTGGAGATGAAGAAAGTCGTCTGCGACACAAAGGTCAAGAAGATTATTGGAGAGTGCAAAAACAAAATTCAGAAGGTGGAGATTTTGAAGAATAGCATGAAAAATTGTGAATGCATTCCCAAGCGAAAAGTACTTACCAGGACTTGCAAATGTCCTCAAGAAAAACCGATAGTCAAGTGTGAAAACAACCAACAGATTGTGATGACACAGATTTCAGTAAGTATCAGAACTAGACTTTATGCTACTCCTAACACTGCCTTAAGGCCTATTAGTCTGAGACATCTTACTGATCCTTGCTTCTAGGTGGTAATTTCAGTTTCTGCCTTGTCTGGCTCTCTAAGCAACCACAAGATTAATCGGACCCGGAAAATGTAGAGTATACTTTTGGCATTTTATCAATACGTGCCATTGCACGAGTTCCAATTGGCCATAGGACAAAATAAACCTTCAAATCAATCTATGCCTCTTTTATATCAATTTTTAATAGAGGAATTCTCTGCGAAGAAAAGTTGGGTTTCAAAAAATCTCTTGTTTCATAATTGTTGAGCTTACTTCCATTTCGAGTGACGAGATTCGAAGGTCGGTTCCATCAGAAGACGACGGCAAATTCCTCTTGACCAGTTGTCGATTTGCTTTACTAGAAGATTCATGTTGACGCTGTTTCCGAGGTAATCTCATTCGATTCCGGTAAAAAGGTGATAAGTTTTCGTCCGTCATATGACGAACATCATCAGAGCAAGGTTTTATCGTCACAAAAAATTCAAGCTAACAAGTTAAGAAAACTCTTGACTTGTTAGCTTGACGAACGAAAGCTTAGCACCTTCTAACCTGAATCGAAGGGGATTACCTCGGAAACAGCGTCAGCA